TCACTTTATATGAATTTGTATACATGAGTTATGTGTCCATGTCAGTCTGATTTACATTCATTATATTAAAATAGCTACTTTTTTTTAATAATAAATTACACCAATGCAAAATATGTGGTAAAATGGCTCATTTTGCTGTTAGCATGCTCCCAGAGTTGTTACAGGTACCTAAAACCACCTAATTAAAAAATCACAGCTATAAGCAGAATAAGTCTCTTAGCATGAAACTGTAGGTTGAAAACCTCACTGCAGCGTAGTCCTTATCCAAGTCTCAATCCAAACCTTGATAAACTGTGAGGTCACCCACATCCTTCAGAGAACAGTCTTTCAGGAATTCCTTGCACATAAAGTTTGAATCATTTTAACAAAACTGAGGCAACCACCAAAGTATATCTCCCCATATGTCTGCATTGACAGAGTTTGCATGAGCATTATTTCCACAGAGCTGCTTGCCATAGTAAAAGGCAAGACAACAACAGTAATGTAGCTGTGTGTCTGTGTCCACAGTTGGGTTTTGACTAGCAGAAGTTATTCAGTTTAAAAAAATCTGCTCCAACTGACATAATTATACTGGCACAGGACTTTATCATCTTTTGTATTGGCCACATAGATTTTTTTGTGGCTTTAAATTCTTTATTTACTGATGAAATGCTTTCCTTGGCTTATGAGCTTATACAGAGTCTGTCCCCAGCATGCTGCATGACAAGCAAGCAAACTTGGCAGCCAGACCTTTTCTTACTGTCCTGCAGCTTACACATTCATCAGAGCTCAGGATAGAAAACTTTTTGAGCTTTAAACTAAGCTTACTTTTTAACATAAAGTAAGATGTAACTTCTCATAAGGTAATTTCCTTGCACTTTCAAAAAAACCCTTAGTTATCCTGTTTCCATGGTTGGAACAGAAGAGCTTGCTGTGCTCTCATGTGACAGGTGGCCATCTAAGCAGCACTCCATTGAGGCTGGTGCTAGCTCAGGAATCCTTGAATGGCCCTGCATGGGCTGCTCATCTACCAGATATTGTTACTCTCTTTTGTAAGGTTTTTGAGCTTTTCTAGCTGAATTTCTTCTTCTGATCTTTAAAAAAGCAGAAATACCAAAGAGCCGCAGGCAGTTCTCAATAATCCTTCTTTTCTTATAAAATCAGAATACTGAAGCATAAACTGCATAGGTTGTCAGGTGAGTGGGGGAGTAGAGGTGAACCACTCCTTCCCCATCCCTGCTGCTGCTGTGAAGTAGGATTGCCACCAAAAGAGATAGTTTGATGCCTTCTCTTCCTGGCTTCTTTTTCCAACCCATTCACTACCTTGTGCCACTATAACCAGGTAGGAAAAAGAATGGTGATAAAGACTTAGGAGTTGGTTTAGGCTAAGACTGAAATACTGTTGGCAACTTCTGGGTTTGTTTAAGTCCATCTAAGTTCCTGGCTCCCTTATTCCATTCTTGCACAGCCACATAAGCACATGGACGGTTGTGAAGGAGGGTGTGGCAGAAGGTGAGAATAAATGTCAGCTTCTGGAGGGGCTGTGGCTCTGAGCAGCAACACCTGATTTAGCTGTCTGTACAACAACTGTCTGATTTCCAGCTGGCAAGGCCTGATTTCCAGCTGTGCTGTCTCCATAGGCACCCAGTCCCTCAGAGCAGAGCAGCTGGGCAGCATCAGGTGCTAGAAGGGTCCCTCCTGGGAGCCATGACCAGAGCCCCACAATGGGCAGGTGTTCTGTGGCCCTTGGCAAGGGATAGCCGTGCTATGTTTGAATTCAGACATCAGAAATGAGCTTTCACCCCCAGGACCAACCTTCACTGATTTATCATTTAAAAGCTGCTGGCCAAGAGCACAGTCATAAAAGTTTCCAGACAATAGCTACAGGTATGTGTTCTGCCAGAAATTAGGCAAAAAGCAAACATAAATTGTAGAAACTCAGCTTCTGTCACGCACATCCTTTAGTGAACCACTGTGAAAGAAGTCTTATCTGTCCTTTTGATGAATCTTGCAATGATTAAGCAGTTGTAGAGGTAGCAGAGAGCTGAGGAAATGGCAGCCCACCATGCTTCTCATACATTTCCCTCTGGCTGCCTCACTGGTGATGACAAGTTCCACATGCTGTGTGGCACCTGGACTACTCTTTGAGTCTCTCTCTCAGGGCCCAGAAGCTGCAGTGCAGCACATGCAGAGTGTTCCTTGTGTTCCCTCCTACCTACAACCTCACTCCAGCAGTGCTGTGTTAGGGTCTGACTTGGTGGTTTGGCTGAATGGAGAAAGGGGAGACCTGTTCTGATACAGAAGGCTCAGCCCACCCTCCTGTCCATCCAAGCAGAGTAACAACTGTCTTGTAATAATTAAAAATGCAAATAAAAGTAAAAACCCTAAACTGCAGGCAATGTAAATCACTTCACCACCTTCTTTCTGCTCATTGCAAAAGATCCTATTGTGACTTCCGCCAGGTGCTGAGAAATAATTCAAAAAATACTGCGAAAATATACTTTGATAACTAATTAAGTGAGGATGTCTCATATTATCCTAAATTGAATTTCCATGGAATTTCACTAACTTGTGCCACATTGCAAGTATCCAGCTTTGTCAGAGCTCCTGTATTTGTTGAAAGGGTTAGAAGACAAGGTGTGAGAGGTTCCAGCTAAACAAGGGAAACCTGCTTTGGCCTGTAGCTGAAGCTAAGATGAAGAGGAAGATAGTTCTGATTGCTGGAGGGCTCAAGATCCTAATCAACCCTCACCTCTTTAATTAGCATGAAGCAGCTCATGAGCTGCAGCCTACAGAGTTGGGCCACAGAAAGTCATAGGAATAGTCAGCTTGCTCCTGATCAGGAATTGCATAAATATTACCCTGGGGCTTCCTGTTGTCACAGGTTTGGCATTGCCTGAACAAGCTCTGCAATGTAAACACAGGATTGTAATTTATTTAGCAAAATTGTACAGCAAGATGCAGTACAGAGGCACATCAGGTAAAATGTTTCCAACATCTGCAGTTGTTCAAGGGTTAAGATTCAAAAAGTATAGTTTAAAATGAAGGCATTTCCCAGCTTTCTCCTTCCTAAGACTGAACCTGGTCTTTGATATATGTCATACCAGTTTGTATTGGAACAAAGCAAATTCCTCCTTTTTAGTGCATTTGCTTCATTTCCACAGGAGTTAGGAATGCACAACACCTCTAAAAACCTGCTCTCCTGCATCTGGAAAAAAAGAACATAAATATTTCTGTCTCTGCAGACTGTGTTTTATATTGGTCTGAAGCCATGATATTTCTTAAAGAAAAAAAATTCAGAAATAAATAATTTTGGAAGTTGACTTCAATAATTTCATATTTCAATATATTCATATTCCATTCTGATACAAATATAAATTTTGAGCTTAATATACTGATGCAAATTTTAATAAAGTCTAAAATAAGCCCAGTGAAATGATAGCTGAAATAAAGCACTGATATTGGCAAGGCAAAACACTACATAGCAAGAAACCCAAGTCACTTTGTTTCAGGATTCTTATGTTAATATGATATTGTTTGATAAAGTCTTGTATTTTTGAGTTACAATTTTTTTCCAAAATTACCATGCTCCCATAAAATGTTCAAATACCAGTGAAGCATTCTGCAACAGGAATCATGCTATCAAAATACATTTACTAATTCTAATTTCATTAATTAATAAACTGAAAAAATGTGTGAATATGATTAAGATAAAAAGTGTTCGGTAAAATAAAGATTAGAACATGGCAGTGGCAAATAAGATGAAGGAGAAAAAGAAAGCTATTTATTCCTCAAAGCAACCACAAATGGAGAAAACATATTATGGTATAAATTTTAAAAAACCATTGGTATGAGGTCTTTGCAGGTGGTTCCATTCCTTGCCTATTTTCCAATATACCCTTGGGTCAAGATGACTGCACTGTTCATGTGAGTAATGACAGGAATGTAAAATGCTTTCTACCAACTCCCTAAATCAATTACCCCTTTCATATTTCGTAGGGCTTTCACCCTTTCCTTTGCATGGATACTTCCACCAGTACTTTTTTATTTTCCAGTACTCTGCTGAAGTTATAAAACCGCATTTGTTGTGGCACTGTGAGTCAGCAGAACTCGCTGAGCAGTTCCCACTGCACAGGGCTCCAGGGCTGGTTTCACAGAAAGCGTCATCACAGAAGCATCATCTGCACCTCAGCTCAGGATTGCAGGTACTGCAATCCAACCCCTCTCTGAAGGACATCGTTATTGTAAAGGCCGTGCTTTCCATTCCTGGAGAGACAGAGAAAAATGTTCAGACTGAAATCATGATCGTTTCAGATGAAGGGGAAAAACAAAAACGGGGAAATGATACTTTGCTATGAGACAGCACAGTAATTCAGAATGAAAGATTCTTCCTCTAAAATGAAGCACAGAACAGCTGCCTCGTATGAGTATTTAAGGATCCACAACCCAAAAATTAGAATGCCAGTCCATGCTTGCATTGCCTGCCTTCTGCCTCTTGCAAAAGAAAGTTAAATATCAGATAGCCATTATTGCAAACTCTGTTTAATCCCTGCAGATACTTGCAAATTCTGGAAGAAGGCTCTGCAGTGAAGACTCATGTTTACTTGGAACATTTTTTCTGTGAAAGATGTACTGACCAAGTAGTTTCAGGAGCACCCATAGGAGGTGTAAGTACTGCGTACAATGTTCCTCCCTAGGAAACCAAAATCCCTGGGGCATCTGCGGGCCACGCCCCCGGGCCCCGGCCGGCCAGGCCCAGAAAGGGGCGCTGTCTCTTTAAGGCGGCGGCGCGCGCGCCCCCTGGCGGCGGCGGAGCGGAGTCCGGGGGGCGGGCGCGGCCCGCGGTGCTGCGGCGGGGCGGGAGCGTCCCGGTGCCGCCCCGCGAGGTGGGTGGGAGCGGAGCGGAGGGGACGGCCCGGAGGAGGAGGAAGTGGAGGCGGCTGTGAATAGCGGGCAAATGGGGAGCTGAGCGGCTGCAGCAGCAGCAGCACCGCGGCCGCGCAGCAGCAGCAGCAGCGGCAGCGGCGGCGAACTCGGCGGCGGGGTCCGTGCGGGCGGGCGCTGCGGGCGTGCCGCGGGGCGGGCGGCAGCGGCGGCGTGCCTGCTCGGCTGGGCGCTCCGGCGCTGGTGCGGGGAGCGGCTTCTCTGTGCCTCGGCGAGCTGCCCGCCGGTGCGGGGAAGGGCCTGTCGGGGCTGCCCGCCTGCCGGGGGCTGCCCCTGGCGCGGCGCGGCTCGGCGGTTCAGCGGGGCGGGAGGGGAGCAGCGGCCGCCGCGGGGAACCGGCTGATCCTCCTTTCTCCGCTTCTCTTCCAGCCGTCGTTTGGCAGGCGCCGAGTGCGAGCGGCAGCCGCGCTGCCCCGCCGCCCCGGACCGGTCGCCTGCTCGCGGGGCGGCACCATGCAGACCTTCCTGAAGGGGAAGCGGGTGGGATACTGGCTGAGCGAGAAGAAGATCAGGAAGCTGAATTTCCAGGCCTTCGCCGAGCTGTGCCGGTAAGGAGGCGGCCCTCGCCGCGGGGAGCGCCGGGGCGGCCCCGGGATGGGGCTGGGGACGCTCCGTGCTCGGCCGTGGTCCGCGCCGCCCTCGGGCGTACCGCACTCGCTGCGCGGCTCCGCGGAGCCGCCTCTGCCCGCCGGGAGCGGGGCCGGGGCCGCAGCGCTCGCAGCGCCCCGGGCACCCCGCCCCGCTGCCGCCGGGCCGAGCTGAGCGCTCCGGCTTCCCGCTCACCTGGGCGCTGCCGGCCGCTCCAGGGAAACACTATCCGGCATGGTGCGGCGTCCCCGTGGGTGTGCCAGGGCCCGGCACAGCACCGCCTTGCTGCCCGCCTGGGTGCGTTCCTGCCCTCTGCTTCCACAGAGGTCTCTGGCATTCCCGTTGAAATAGGGTAATTTGGGATCTTTGCGGACCCTCTTCCAAAGACGAGTTATTATTAGAAAGAGTCAAACGTTTGGGAGGAACTTCCCTTCAAGTTATGTGAAAGCACGTAGAATTAGGGTCTGCAAAGCCCTGAGTAAGCTTGTATTCATTTGGGATGTGTATGAGACATCTGAAGATGGTATAACTGTCTGAGTTACACATCTGTTTCGTGCTGTCCCAGAGGTAAAGGTTAGTTTGATAAGCTGTAATTAGACTTTATCTGAATAGCTTAGAGGATAATTTTTGCAGCTTATTACACAATTTTATTATTTAATTGTGAGTTTAAACTCCATGTGTGGGTCCAAGGTCTTGTGACACATGCATTACAGCTATGGGTACTGAATACTAGCTTTTTATTACATCATTCTAACACTACGTTTATAACAAAGAGACTAAATCAGTTTTGATAATTGAAAAATATGCTGCAAACTTTACAGAATATGTTGGATGAGACTTCAAATACACTTTATTTAAAGCATGTCATGCTAAAAACACCAGGTCCTGTGAAATTTCTGTTGACAGCACTTGCTTCTTTCTGTAAAGATGAAGGAGGCAGAACAGAAAACTGTTTCAAGAAAGCGACAAAGTTTTACATCAGTTTTTGTACTTGGCATTCTGTATTCCCTCTGTCAAACTTCAGCAAAATGTACTAGACTTTTTTAAAGTATAGAAAGGGCCACAAGTTTTGGTTTAATGTTTAATTTTATGTGGTTCTGCAAGCAAAATTCCTGTCTACGAATAATGCTAAATTTTGCCCTTGTATGAGATTTTAGGTTAGTTTTTTTTGTGGTGCTCAAAAATACACTTTTACCTCTATTAGGCATACAAAAAGTTTTTTAGAGCCTTGAGGTATGATATAGGCTGTTTTTCATGCCTGGGAACTGTAGTGAATCTCAGAAAATCCATTAAAAACTTCTTGATATTATTGTCTGTACATTGTTATATTTAGCAATCTCCAAAAGAGACTTTTTCTCCTCCATTGTCCTTGTTTCTCTTTTTGACTAAGTGCTTTGCTTCCTTTCTCTCTACCTTAGAAGTTCCTTACACTTGTGTTACATAATGTGGGTCTACAATTTCTTTGTGTACTGTACAAACTTATTAATAGTTTTGGGTCATCATGCTGCTGTGAAAATTGACCCCAAAGTGTCTCTCTTGCTACACTTTACTAATTTTTTGGTGCAAATTAGGCTACCTCATCCTGTACAGGCTAAGCTCAATTTGAATAGCATGTACAGACACTGGATAGAGATGGCTGTTCATACATGCTTTGATAACTTTAAAAGCATTACTGGCATTTCTGTACAAGCAGAGATAAATGTTTGGTTTAAGTATCAGTACATTCATTGGAGCACATTCTGCTGATATCTTGGATGCTCTGTTTTCATTCCTAGCAACTTCTCTTGACACCAAAGGGAAGTTGCATTCATTTAGGCAAAGATTTCAAGTATTTTATGGATAATATCTACTTGATAACTTGTGTGCTTGTAAGCTTTTTTTGCCATAGAATAAGTCATGCAAAGCTTAACGTATATCTTACTAGAAATCTTGTGGATGGTAAAAAACAAGACAAGTATTCTCATTCCTGTACAGTGATTCATGTGTTAGAGTGGACTGTGTATCTGTCTGTCTACTCTATGTGCTTTATGGTGACTGCTACTTGGAATTTATTTGCCTGTTGCCTAGGGATATACTTTCTGGATGACTACGAAGTTCAGATTTGTTTGTACGAGTTTGTAATGAAGCAGTTATATAGTCCAGGAAAGTAAGAGGAGCCTCCTAATGAACTCATGAAGCATGCTGGGTTTAATCAGGGGAATTATTAGGATAAGGAGAATCTTTATTTCTTTACAGTTAGCCACTTCTTGTGCAAAGCACTGACATCCTAAAGAGGCATGGACAGACACTTTAAAATCTGTTCAAAGCATTGTGTGAGAGACAGGCTCTAAGTGCTAGACCGCTTTCTTGAGCGTGGCTCCAGGTTTTAGGTTAGATTGCCTGAGCTGAAATGAGATTCTAGCCAGGGTGAGTGGACCAGAAGCGAAGGTGTAGCTTTGGGGTGTAGGCGGTCATGGCTTCAGCTTTCTGCTCCACAAATACTGGGCAGGAGCCTTAAATACTTTCCTCGTGTTTGTATCCATCTTGAAACTTTCTGTATAACTGACAGGAGAGCTGTTCTGCATGAACACAGTGTCTTGGAACTTTTGCATAATCTTTTTATCCACAAGGGAATCTTCCTCTTACCAAAGGCCTTTGAGTTCACCTGGATGTTTGGTCCTCACTGTGACAGACTAGGTGTGTAGCCTACTTGAGCTGTATTCTTTGTAGAGATAAAGGTAGTGCCTGTGGTTGTATCTGCCTTCACATTTGTGGCCCAGACCAGTGATCCCAAATTGTTGAGTTACACCCTAGCGCAGACCTTAATGCTTCTACATCTCCTTGGGGGTTCTGAGCAGTGATGACCAAAAAGGCAGTGTGTTTTCACAGGCCTGTTGCAGAGAATGAGTGATTTCTGAATAGTGCCTTAAGAGCTGTTGACCTGGAGAATAGAATACTAGGCCTGTCACCCAGGAAGCCTGGTTTCAAGCCTGTAGCTGATGTCTCTCAAGGCATACCAAACCTGAAGATGTGCTAAGCTCACTCTGATCCTCTGTCTGAACCTGACACTGTGTATAGAGAGGGATGTGACTTTGCTCCCCAGTGCCAGGTTAGTCATTCTCCTTACTATGGCAAAGGCATTCTTTTGGGATGAGGTGTGTCCTCAGTTCTGGTCTGTTTCCTGGGGTGGTTTTTGGTTTTTCCCAGCAGTTCTTTTCTATATAAGCTGCTTTGTAAGCTGACATTGGAGCAAGACTTTTATGTTCCATTCCATGCATCAGTACAGTTTCAGTGGTGAGAAGAGAGTTTCTGTCTCAGTCTTTCTGATCTGAAGGCATTCCTGTTTGAGTTGTGATACAGGGTTGAGCTGTTTTGTGTGGAACAGGGCACTTGGTACATGTTTCATATACTGTCAGGCAATTTATTACTATTGCCAAGTTGTCCTGTGCTTTTAGTAAAGCTGCTAGAACACCATGCTTTGTGTTGCACTTGGAATTGTGTGCATTCCAGCATACATGCTGCTGTTCCCTGAGTGTAGGGGCCTTGTGGGACTGCAGCATGCATATGTCTGGTTGGTGCATCTCAAATGGACTTTCTTCTGAACCTTTATGTTCTGCTCCTCTAAGATGGCACAGTCTGGGACTTTAGGTTGCTGTCTGTTGTCAAAATATGGAGTATCTATGCCTGCTGAAAAGTAAAGCAAGGTTTCTAGGCATTCCTAACAGAGAATTTAAGAGCCTGTAATATAAGTGTGTAGTTGTGATGTTGTCATGTTTCTGTGCTGCTGCTGAAAGGAACAGTTCCTCCTTTCTCTAGCTGCTTAGTCTCATCTTCTGTTTCAAGCTGGGTTTAATGGTTATGCAGTTGGCAAAGGCTCTCAATCCAATCAGTTCCATGCTCATCACATTGACCTTGGAATGGCTGTCACTGTGCAGATGCATGAACACTAATATGAGGTTAGGGGAAGGGAGATGCCACATTCCATTATAGGGATGGGAGAGCTGCTGTGTGAGTGTCAGATGGTGGTAAGGACTCTTGGATGCCCATGTCACCAATTTGTAAAATATGCCTGCTGCTGGGTCTCTGTGGACATTGTGAATGGAAAGACTCCCGTTTGTGCCATATGAGAAGTGGCATATATGTGTGTAAAAGTGCATATATTTACTCAGAAAATGAGTTGTGTGTGTGTTTGGCACCAGTTAAGATTAGTGAGGTGCAGCCATTTACAAATGTTTCTTTGCTCTGTAAAAGCCTCCATTTCCTTGGTAGTTGTTCTGCTTGTCAGCTGTTACTCTGGGCTCTTCTGGGAGCTCTGGAGATATAAGGCAGTAAGGTCACAGCAATATGAATAAGTTATAGTGATGTGAAGTGAAATACTCTTCATCCAAGAGGAGACAATTTAAAGTCACCCAATTCCAAATTATAAGCTACTTCTCAGTTACTTTGGACAAAAGCATTCACCAGTGCAGCTTGTAAGTTTGCATGGTAATGCGGTAGCTTTTCTATGTATCTATATACATAAAAAGTCAGAATTTTCTTTTAATGGCATGTAGAAAACAAATAGAAAAGGCGTTGAAGAGTTGCCTGAAGATGTAATTCGTGTCGTAATAAATCCCACAATTTGACTGACAGAAGAACTGTGCTTGTACACTCTAATGACCAGGTTATTTATGGTAGGATTTTACTCTGCTGTGGATTTTGTTGCTGTTGTTGATTTTTTCATAAAACATGCTGAGAAACTCAAATTCTGCCCACAGAAGGCAGTGGAAGCAGGCTGATTGAGTTATGCCTTCTAGTTAAGGCCAGTTGTCTTGGTTTTTAGTGAGCAAGCCAAATTGTCATCTTCCCTCCTTGTGAGATCATCCATGGCAAACTGATCATCCCCTGACACAGGAAACTGAGTTGTTTGTGTCCAGTTTGGATTTCCAGGTGCTCTACACTGGTGAAGACTCTTGAGACTTGAGGCCATGTTCTTGAATTG